TCTCTTAATTTTCTTCCAGCTCTTTCAACTCCTTTTTATAACCTCAAGAATGAGACTCCTTTTATAAAGGAGAATGGAAAACTATCAAAATAYTTGCAATCAAAAAGATTGTCATTTTTCAGGGAGAATGACCATGCTGAATTTACTGGCAACTGGCATGGAGAGGGAAATTTAGAGCAAACRATGATTTGTTTTTTTTCTCCCCTCAGATCTAATATGCCACCTTCAAAAGAAATTTTCCTGAATTTGGAGAAAATTACAGTCAATAAAGCTTTTGCAATTAATGCTAGCTAAGGATTTTAGTACTGCTTAACTGGGAGTTCTGCTGATTTGGTACTCCTTTTACAGATGAGCTAAACTGGAGCAATGAATGGAGCCTGTAACTACTGAAGTTAATGGATTTAGCATCTACAATTAGTGTGATTATCTGATACATTATCAGTGATAATGGATCACTGGGGTGTGGGATRTATCCATTGGGGTGTGTGTGTAGTGCAGGAAAGGGAAGCCAGGTGGTTCTGAGCTTTGGTTTTTCTTTCAAGATAACATAGTTTCCTTTCCAAGAACCAACAAAGTCTTCAGATCTTTCCAGACTGATTGCAGCTTCCAAGCATGCATGGAGTGAGTGCATGCGTGCACTCTCCTTTCTGTATCAGAAGCAGCCAGGGCCAGACATTCTAGGCAGTGGGAGATCAGACTGGAGAAAAAAAAAAAAAAAATCAAATGTACTCTTGCTTCAAGAGTGTGGGTACTCTTGCTTCAAGAGTGTGGGTATGGGAGGGAGCTGCATGAAGTGTCTAGAGCAGAAGTGCTGCAAGGGTTTCACTGAGGGGCTTGAAAGAAGAAGACAGGACAGGTTATAGTGAAGAGAATGCTACCATGTGGATAAACACTACCAGTTAGGAAAAGACCTTTGGATTGAAAGCCAACATAATCATGCTATAATCATACAGTAATAGCTACTGTGTTCCTTTTCCRCCAGAAATATACACTCATTAAAATCTTGAAGAGTGCTTTGCCCAATGAAGCTGCCCCAATAGCAGTGTTCTTCCAGCAGATTGTGATGACCTGCCTGGATGTATTATGTTTAAATGAGAAACCTTGCCTCACAGGTAGAGTTTAACRGTTGCCTTTGACTTTGATTTTACTCTGGAAATAAAGGAACTAAAGTGTCACGTGCTATCAGTTTTCCTTAGTCCTTGTGCATACATACATATACTCCTTCCTTTGTAAAGATTGATTTCTAACTTAATAGCTGATTATACAAGGAGGAAATGTGAGACTGAAATCTGTTCTTGTCTCATCATGTCTTCATTTGCCTTAAAAAAAAGAAAAAGAAAAAAGAATAATGGAGCCTCTCTTTCATTCTTGTTTTTGCAGTACTTATGGCACAGTAAAGATGTTATCCACAATAAAGACAGTAAATGGACATGTTTGTTGATTTCTGGACAGATTTTACCCACTGTGAAAAAGTATATAATGCTCACTGAGATTGTGTAAATAAACATACTGACAACTGTGTTTAAATGATGCCTGAATTCTGACTATCAGTTGGTTGGATATTGACTTTTTATTTAAAAAAAGAAAAAGAAAAAAAAAAGCCTGTTTCCAAAATGTTGCCAGTTGTCAAAGGAGTCTAGTACCTCTGGAACAGTGTTCGTTATGGGGACATACATTGCATGTGCTGTATAAGAAATCAGCTTGGATTCCTGTCACATTTGTTTTCAATATTAATACAAAGATTTATAATTGATTCTTTGTTAGGCATTGAGTTAGGTATTTACTTGGGTGCTATGAGCTGGGCTTTCCCCAATCGGTGTACTGGAATAGATCAAAAGTGCTCTTTATTTTAACCATTAGAGTACTTTTGCTTAGCAAACAAACCTAAAACTTCATGGCAACAACTTGGAAGTGGGAGTCTGAGTACCTAGAATTTTACTGCTTGGGATGCTTTTGGCTATTTGGCCCATACATCTTTGAGGAGTCAAATATATTGACATCCAAGGGGGACAGGGTGAGGTCTACCTTAAAACTGGGCTGCCTGTACACATATCATTAAATGACCTCAAAATAAGTGTAGTTGGAGCTACAGTGCAGTCACTTTATATTGCTGGATGGAAGAAAGATCTTTGGTGTGACTGAACTTACATCTGTGTGTAGAGCACTGGCAAATGAAGGCCTTGAACACAGAATTAAGTAACAATAAATAGAAATTAAGAATGGCAGTCTATAAAAAGCTTGTAATTAAAGTTTCTTGGATTTTCATATAGGAGGTTTCATGTATAACAAGTAGACAGATTGATTTTTACCTTCTCCAAAAATCCATATGTGGAGAGTGATCTATAATCTACTGTCAAAACCTGTTGCACTTCAGAACAGTTTTCCATTTTGAACTCACAGTGGGCACATATATTTGTTTGGCTTTGGCTTTCAAGAGAATATGCTACTGGACAGGTGATGAAAAGTTCTAGTTTTAGTGCTTCACATGACTAAGTTGCTAGTTATTTTTGTGGCCTGTGCAATGTAGGGTRATATTTATTAGGAGAAGAGTGATCATATAGCTTTGTTTTTGTATTCATATCTTTTGTAGACAGTGTTTTTGCTTAAAAATTCTTAAGAAAGATAAGACAGTGTTTGGGAGGCAATATGACTGGATCTTATTTTCTGCAGAGTCAATATGTGTTCTCCTGTGCTCACCAGCTGCCTGTCTAAAGGCAACTCTGTGTTGTACGTGGTCAGCCTGTTTGAGTGGGCACTGGGCATCACTCAGCCAGAACCTAGCTGACCTGCAAGGGGAGCTAGTGATGGTTTTCTCACCTCTTCTTATGTTAAGGCAGTCTTTTGCAAGGCCTGATTGCTGCCCAAAAAGATGTGCTTGGTAATGACACTGGCACATATCTGAAACTGTCTTGAGTTGGTATAGGGAGCTAGCAGAAAGATGACTGTTTTCTGTTGTAGGGTTGGGTTTCTGTTGGCTTAAGTCCTGTGGCTCACCAGTCAGGTGAACTTGATCCAAAGGATGGGGCAGAGCAGAAWGGTCTCTGGTGGTACTGGCTGGCTCCTAGGCTGATTTTGACATCCTTATTCTGCCTTCTCCTTGTTCCTGGGCAGTAAGTAGGACAAAAGGTTCTGGACTCTTGTGCCCTRGGCCATGCTGAATGTTGGTTTTGGTTCGGAGGGAGAGGAGTGGTTTCTGAACCATGTCCTGCCTTACTTTTGCCTTGCTCTTAGCCTGCCCTGATAGAAGAGAAAGGGTCGTGGTTTCATGGGGGCTTCTTTCCTGTGTGCTTGCAGGTGATCTAAATTATACACGTAAATAACACCCTTCTGACTTGCACATGGGTGCAAGAGAGCCTAGCAGTATAGATGTCTGAAATACCAGACAAAATGTTTGGTCAAAATATGTATCCACAATTAAAACAAAGGCAAGTCTTTCTGTGACCAGTAACCGAGCTGCTGTGGTGACACATGAGAAGGGCTCATAGTTCTGTCCGTTTCGCTGCTGTTTTCTCTGGGGTAGTGCACACGGAGCTCTGCTCTGCACAAATGATCTTGCGTGTACAGGATTCCCATGCTTCCTATTTTGTGGGCAGCTGGAACACAGGAACAAGGATTGCCACTTGCCATATAAAAAATGCGTGGAATTCACTGCTATAGGAATTGCCTGAAGCCAGATGAGGGAGGGGGGAGAGAGAGAGAGAGAGAAAGAGGAGAAAAAACCCCACCACTAACAAAAACAACAACAACAAAAAAAMCCACTCTGGATATTTCATTTCCATAATTTGATGTTCATTTCTATGTGCCTGAATTACATCAGGAGAAAAGTACTTCATATTTCAATCTGTCAGCTGACGTCTTTTGGCAGCAAAGCTAGGTGAGGGGAGTACACAGTTTACTACTTAGATCATGTTTATATTAATCCCAGTGCTGCTTTATGGATTTCTAGAGCACAGCTCATGCTTGGGAGAGGAGCATACAATGTATGTATCAATAAACCTATGTCCCTTACAAGTTGATTCACTTTGARGTTTGAACATTTACCATTTCTGTGGCTAAAGGCAGGATAATGGATGAGAGAATTTAGCAAACCCTGCTTCTTGCTGATGTGTTTTCTCAGTAATCATACCATTTCAGGATGCTTTGCTGTATTTTCTTAAGGAAAGATTGTAAAGCAGAGAGTATATTGACYGGAAGGAAAGAGCTACTAATCTTCTGAAACTAATCTTTAGTCAGTGAAAGAAAGAAACTTAAAACATTTTATTGAATTAGTTAAAGATGGGTTGTTCTGCTGGAAATGGTTAATGAGCCTTAAATAATATAACTATTTTCAGAATTTAAAAGCAGGAAAAAAGTAATTAATTAAGACTAAATAATTAAAGTGTATTCTTCACTGTAMGGTTATACATGCCAACGACTAAATAACCACTGTGCTTCTGATTCTCTGAAAAAGGCTATATTGCATGATTTATTACCTCTCATATTTAGCTTGTGCTGAATTTTCTTTAAGATAATCTCCAGTTATCTCTAAGGGAATTTGCCTCCCTTGGTGCCTCTTATTATTCTAATTTTTAGGGACCTGCAGTATTTGATTGCCTTTAAAATCGGGCATGATTATATTAACTGTGCGGGCGAGATGAAGTGAAATGGTTCTGATCACTGCAGGCAAATCCTTGGGCCTAATCCTGTGGTCTGCTCCACTGCTGGAACAGCACTGAGGAGATACCTCTGGGAAAGAAATTTGGTCCCATGAGTGTTTCTGTTTGTTTTCTGCTGGAGTTCACAATTTCTCAAAAATATTTCGGAGTTCTTATATTTGGGGAATATAGACAAAAGGGAAATATCTCTAAAAATCTAGAGCCCTATCCTAACTCCTATTTATGTCTGGTGTTAGAGCTTCTGTTTTGGGAGCAGGGCTGGCATATTTGGCATTTTTGAAAATCCTACTGCAGCTTTGTCCTGATCAGTGTAMCTTTTTTTGTCCTCTAAATAGAAGAAAGAGCAGAGGGGCATGCTTTTTAAGAAATACAACCCACCTTTCCTGCCAGCAGGCCGGAGCTGGAGACACCTTGTGCAGAGCTATCCCAGGAGTGGATTCTCAGCTTGCCCCAGGTGATAAATTCCTCTTATTTATGAGGCACATCTCAGAGTGAGGTCTAGTGCAGAACAGCCTGTCCTAGGAAGCATAGCTAAAAGAGTACTAGTATGTCCGTTCCTGCTCAGTTCTTACTGCTGGTTTGGCTGTACCAGTGTGGAGAAGACTGAACACCCTCTAATTCCTACCAATTTACCTCTGCTCCCCATCTTGAAGGAGGTCGAGCTCAATTCTTGCAGTGCTCCAGTGACCTGCTTTGCTGTCCTGCCCAGCTCTTGCGTGAGGTAGGAATATCCTCAGCTCCCCCTGTTCATCTCTGTAGATGAAGGCTCAAGCTGGGAAAACTGCAAAATACTAGTCCCTCTCCCTCTGGACAGGCACAGATTTCCACCTGCTCACCGAGTTGGACTCAGCTGCCTTTGACTGCCAAGGACATCAGGTGAGAACCACAAGGAACAAGATACGTCCCCTTGTTCTCACTCCCTTYGCGTGTCTGAGTTTTTTTATTCAGCATCCCATACCGCACGTCTTGCTTAGTAGTCCTTCAGCTGTGCCAAAAGCAACTGTCTTAAATGTGGATCTAGCTCGTCTGATCATTGAAATAAACATCATGGCCATTTAAAATTACATCTTACACTTGAGAGACATGCTGAGGACATAGAGAAACAATAGATTTAATTAGGCTTTTAGAATGTGACACATCTATTATATGTTTCATTACTGTTTTTAAAACAGTCTCTGCTGTATAATAAATCTTACTGTAGTACTGTCATTTAATTAAATGGGYATCAGCACTGGGAACAATTAAAATAAGTTTATACCCTTTCAGGGAAACCCTATAGCAAGATGTGCAAAATAGTATACAATAAAATGAAAAATTAAATCCTTAGTGAATTTGAGTTGCTGCATGTAAGAAATTTGATGAAAAGCATTTTAAGAAAGTAGTCAATTGTACAGTATAGTCCCTTCTGCCTCCAAGGGACTAACCGATGTCGCCTGGATTTTTGCCATTGCCAAAAGACCCCAGGTGTATGTTTTAGCACTAATAAACAGAAACCATCCCTGTGGAAAAATGTCTGTCTTAAAGCCCCAAATAGTGAATCTTACCCTATTTATGCAGTTTTCGTTAGGTTAAAACCTCCCTATTCCACAATTTTGMATAGTCTTTTAGAAGTCTCAGTTAAGAGTTTCTTTACTTGTTGGCATTATCTTAACTTCAGTTTGATTTTTAGGATGTGTTTTGTATAGCAACGCATCTAAGCAATAATGACACTTTCTTTTTCTTAACTAGGACATAGTATTTACATTTTATTGCATATTAAGATCAACTCCAGCATTACATTTAACTCAAAGTTTTGCTGTGCTTCTCCCTGTCTGCTTTGGTATAAATAGGCAGCCTTGAAGTGAACATCAAAACTAAATGGCATTGAATATAATGAAACAGCACTGAGCCTAATGAAGCAAAATTGCTATGTAAACAGGGATGCTTTTATCTCACTGGAATTTTAATGTCCTTGTATGTGTCTCAACTACATTTTTGTAACCTGATTCTTGAGAAATGTCTGATATCTCTTTATGATTGTTAACAGAGCCCAAGACCAGCCCTGTTGTATGTGGTTAACTGAAGGATGTGAAGCTAATATCAGCTTTGCTATTTAAGAATAATTGTTGGTAGTCCTGCAATTATGACAGAAGGGTTGGCTATAAAACTTGGTAACCTGGGAGACCTGTTAACATTTCCAGGAACAACTGATTACACGTAGTCCAGGGTCAGGTGAAAGTGTCACTTGGAATTTCCTTGCATGTGAGCATGGCAGTGATTTCAATATGTCTTTTAATATCTTTGTCCACATCCAGCAGCAATAACGCCAATAACAACAACAAATCTAATAAAACTTCTTCAGGTTATTTGTGCTGAGAAAAATTCCAAAAGAACAGTTTTCATTTTTGTATTGTACTAGAAGCTGCATGAGGAAGAGAGTTGACATCTCTCTGCTGGGGAAGGTGGAATAACCAGCCCTCGGCCACCTCCTCTGCAGCTGCTCCCCATCACGTCACACTGCTTGGAGCACTGCACCGAGTGAACAAGCTGAACAGTGCAGAGAACAATAACCAGTAACATGCTTCATTGTTACTACTTCTCATTATGACTTCCTTTTTGCCTCTGTAATCATATAGTCAAGTCAAACATTCAAAAATATTTGGCGTATGCCTGACCACCTCCTTCCACTTCCTCACCGATTTGTACTTCTTGTCCTTTCAGACAGCACCTCAARATTTAGCCTTTACTGTTGATATGGTATAGGCCCTTCCATAGGAGCAGAATTTATTAGAAGTATGTCAATAAATGTGTTGGCATTTATTGACACAAGTGATGTTGAACACTAAAGGATTTCATTAATTAAGAGATACTTCCTTTTTAACTGAAATGTATTCATTTGGAKGAAAAAATAAAATGCAAAGCACAGTAATGACTACTGTCCTAAACARTAGTTACTGTCATTTTTTCCTTACAGCTTCTTCATTTGCAATGCAGTCACCATGACCAAATCTTGGCATTGTGTTGTTTTTCTTAGAGCTCTTGTTCCTGGAGTTGTGTTGGACTCTCGTGGGTTGTTCCCATACATCCCCTTTCTCCACCCCTCAGAACTTCAGCTTCACCAAAATGTGCTTTGAGAGCCCTTGGTTTGTAGAAAATAAGCAAGAAGAAAACAAGTGAAGCAACTAGGAGCAGCCCAGAAAGTACCCCTGGTGCTGGGAAATCTGACCAAGGGGGAGAGCCTTTCCAGGGGCCAGTTTCAGTATTTGTTCTGTGTGTATTCAGATGAGTTTAGAGTGGGGTGAGGGCAGCTGCCCCTGCTAAATTTCATTCCTTCCACCTGCAGTATGTTGGACTGAAGGCATCAATCCTGCCCCCTGGAAGAGCCAGGCAATATCATGTCTGCTTCTTCCCAGTTGCRGTTTGTTCAGGTTGCAGGAATTAAGATAATGGACTGATGCTGAGGTGTCTTTTTCTTTTTTTTTTTCTTTCTTTTTTCCCTCTCTTCCATGGACTTACCTCTTAGACACCCTTTTAGTATGACCTGGAGGTTCCTTGGTTTGCCTAGTCTATGAGGTCTTGGCCTTCTTGTTGTATGACACGAAGGCAGGGTAGTAGTGACTTACTGTATCTTATAGCAGAGAGCCAAACTAATCTATTGTTTCTGTCTGTGTTGCCTTTTAATGGAAAAGGCATACTGAAAAGCTACTGTGTGAAGTTTCCTTTATCTGTGTGTTTATAAAGGCTGACGACTTATCTCTGGGTCTTAAAATGCATTCCCCAGCAGCCAGGTATTGTCAGCTCTGCTTAAGAAATATGCTTTGATTAGCTGGGCTTTCCATTCCTCTCCCATGGGTTGTTGAGTCTGTAATCAGAAATTTAGGGGAATGGCTAGCTGGCCCAACTAGCAAATATTGAAAACCTCAAAGTAATGTAGCACATAACTGAAATCACATAAAGTTTGGATATGAGGAATGAAGTTCCTGACACCTAATTTTCATTACAAAGATGGCAACAAGAATGGAAAATGTCACAAGAATAATTCACTTGTGCTTAGTCTTTTGTACTGTAATCATCTAGTCCTTCTTGCTTTGGGCATCCCTTTTCCTACGTAACTTATGGAACAAGGCAGTTTTTGGCTCTTAACAGTCTAATAAATACAGGTAATATTTTGTGATCTGTTGAATATTTTGAACTGAAAGGTCAAGGGTAGGGAGATTAAAAAGCCATTGGTGGAAATGCTCTCAATAAAACACTGTCTTTCTGGAAGAAGCRCAGTTTAAGTAAGCATAAAATTTGTTTAAGAAGACTTTGAGCCCAAATTGAAGTAAAAAGGAGAATAATGTTAGTGTTTAGATTCTGCTAGTTCTAGAAGGGTGATTGGAAAGAAAATACAGACAGGAAAAAGATCATACCTAATATTTCCCKTAGGCTCTCTGTCACATGCTTTTTTAAAATAAGTAATGATTATTAACAGTACTTTGGAAATACACAATAGTATAAGGTCATAGATTCTTTTGACTGGAAAGCATAGAAAAACTTTTGAGAGTGTGGGGAAAGTCTGTCTGAAAGTCTGTGGGACTGAAGTAATGATAGAAGTGCTTCTGAAGCCCCTGTTTGCAATTTGGCTTTTGCTAATTAAATTAAAGCTTTTTCTGGCCTTTTCAGGTAAATGGTTGCCAATGGTGTAAGTAGCTGGCTGTCTCCTTTTTGCATATGGGCTTTTTGACAGGAAATTCAGATAATCCTGTTCTGAGCAAGTACCCACAACAGCAGAATGTCAAGCTGTTGTAAAGTCAGTACTCTGAGGACAAGGTGGTGGTGTGTCTGAAGGCATCCAGTTGTGTGCAGTGGGGTATGTATGCGTGTAAGTTCTGTCAATAAGCACCATGGTCTCCTGATCTTTTTGTCAAACTCTGTTCTTACTACATGTACTTACTGACTACGTGTACTTAGAGCGCACACAGGCAGGCATGCATGGCCACCCAAAATGATGGGCTGCCAAGATCATCTGCTCCAACCTTAAAAAAAGAATGTGGAAGGAGATGCACTCCTTCACATGTATGAAGAAGTCTTAAGTGTTATATTTTTCTAGCTCTGCACTTTGATCCTTCACACTTCTGTCATCCTCGAAGCCTGCACCATATGCATGGAAATTATAATGCTGCCAGCTCATGCCTGGCTGGAGCTCTGCTTGCAAAGCCCAGATGAGATTGAATCATGAGATATGTTATGAAAAGCTGCCTGTTGCCAAATACCAGTCTCAGATTCTAACATCTGCCTGTATCCCATCTCAGCAGTGTATTTTGAGCTATCTATGTTTGCCTTTTGGCTGAAGGGATTCTTCCCTCATTGCTACCAGCTTTGGAGGCACCTGCCTACTTTCGCTACCCTTTTCTGCAAGCAAGAGGAGAAATTACAAGTTTTCTTTTTTTTAGCCCAGGCTTTTCCTTTCAAGCGAAGAGAGGAAAAYTTGGTAAGAAAGAACAGACGCATCCTGAGCTGCACTTCCCTTTCTGTTCATCCTCGTTCTTCTCTTCTCTCCCCCTTCCTGTCAGGATTCTCGCCTTAGCTCTTCTTCCCTCATGCCCTCCAGGAGCACTGCTACTTACATACCTTGCCTTCCTCTGGAAATGGGAAAGCATCCAGTAACAGAGGGTTTCCCCTGCCCTACTTCACTTTTTCACATTGGAGTATTGATTGGGAGGAAAACAGCCCAAATTGTTCAAGCCTGCTCTCAAGAGTGGCTTAAAACATGTTGCACATTGTGAGAACTGGCAGACGCAAACCACAACTACTTCTAAACATCTGGAGACCAAGACATCTGGTTCTGTTTCTTTTGTCATGGGCACTCTGGATAGTTTGCATGCTTCCCTGGGGCCCCAGACAATTGCTTTCCTCTGTAATAGGTTCTTTTTATCATAAAATTGGACTGTGTCTGCAAAAATCTTGAAGCATCCTATTGAGTGATGGTAGAGAAGTCATTCCCCGACACTGTTTTTAAACTTTCTAAAGCCAACAGACTGAGCAGATGTATTTGGGGTGGGTTTCTGGTGGCATATTTTGTAAGTAGAAGGGAGACTTTGTCATTTTGGTGAAAGTGTGAAGAATATGGTCTTTAATATAATTGACAGTTTATTTTTCATTTGAGGATAGCTAACCTTTTACAAGATGAAACTGTCTTGTAAATCTAATGAACTTGGAATCACAACCTGCCTGTACCTTGCTGAAAGAGTTTCAGGAGAAAAATGCTGTCTTCTCTGTTGACTTAGGTCAGGCAGAGGTAGGAGTCACTTGGTGCCTAATCAAGTAGGCCCATGAATAGACTGAAGGGTCATGATAAATAAATGTGACTGTCTGATACTAAAGACGTGATTAACATCAAGTCTGGTATTTTCTCTCAGTACTGAAGATGGAAATGTGTCATACCTGTAATTATGGTTGTCTAACTTAAAAATGTGGTGGTAATAGCGCTAGGTCATTCTGACCTTCTGCAGTGGAAAAAGAAAATACTTTTTCATAGTTTGTTAACAATTTTTTTTTTGCCTGGGATGTTCTGTGCAGTTAAAGCAGCCCTCCCACAGAGTAAGATCGTGGTCTTATTCTTAGTTGCAGAAAACATTTATCATATACTATAGCAAATCAGACAATCTTCATGCTAATCATTCCTTGCTGGAAACTCTTTACTACAAAAACTTCAGAAATATTCTTACTAGCAGGAAAGCAGAGAATCACAGCCAAAAAAGTGATTCATTTATGTTCATAAAAACCAAACTGAGCATTTAGAAAAAGAACTAAGCATTTCAGATCATAATGGTAAAGACTGAGAAAAGAGGCATTCAGAACTTGTCTTCTGTGTGAGTTTTCCTCTAATTTCTACCTGCCCAATTCTCCATAAATCTCTACTTGTCTGAGTCCTCAGCCTTTGTTTGCTCATGGGCAGCCGTTTTAATTGATGGAGCTGTGGTAATTTACATTCATCAAATGTCTGTCCCAGTGAATTCATTAGAATTAGTCCTGCTTTCCAAAAAAAAAAAAACCAAAAGAGCCTGGCCTGCACACTCGGTGTGCTTAGTGCACAGTTCTCTTTATTCAGAGAACACTCTCAAAGGAAAGTTTAAATATTATGCTGCCCATATGCACTGTTGTAAATTTTGACCCTTTTGCATTGCACAGCTAGAGAGCTGGAAGCTGGCTGTATGATTTAGACATTATAAAATTCTTCTGAGTCTTAGAAATCCCCTCTTTAAAGTTGTATTTTGTATGAATCACTATATACTTTTATTTTCCTGTATATYGTTGAATTGATCTCCAACAAGAAAATGCTTAGATTCTTGCTTCTGATTGCCAGATTAGAATATTCCTTTTGCTGATGAAAGAGGAAAGCTTTGATTTAGCTATAAAACATTTGATGACTGTCTCTGTTCTGCTAGCAGTATGCATATAGGGGAAAAAGATAACCCCCAAATCTCTCATTTATTTTTTTGAGACCCAGTGTAGTTGAATTCACTACAGGTTTGCAGAGCAAATTAATAATGAAAAGAGAAACAGTTACCACCTGTGACTTCCTGTGTGCCTGTATTCCATAGCATCATAGTGAAGTGAATGACGGAATGGGATATGTGTCTGCTTTGTATACAAATGGTCTTGGGGCCCAAGGGAGATTTTCTGCTTATTTTGCAGCACCAAGAAGAAACACCTCTGAAAGTA